ATTTACAGCACTTGCCGTGTATGCCCTAAAACATAGAGGCCCAACGCCACGCGGCCAGATATCAACGTGTGACCCCCTAAGCCCCGAAGTGGTCTTATTGCGGGTGCTGCGAAGCCCTGGGAGTCATAACTGCAAGGTTTCACGACGAGGCCTCAACCGTCTTGACAGCCTTCATCGTGCCTGCTGCCAATCGGTCCGACCCACATAAAGCTGCAAAGCCCGAAACGGAGCCAAGCCTTCAACCCTGTGACAAAGAGTGTTCAAACTCAAAATTCACTTCACACTGCGGCCAGGCAGCGGGAACCTTTGCGCAAGGGCGGCTGCTTTGGCCAAGAAGGGCAGCGCCGGGCCTGTCCGGAAACTTCTAGGGTTCTCGATTTTGCGGCTGAGGGTTTGAGGTAGGACCGGCTGCAAGGATTCAGGTTTAGGCTGGTGGATCTAGGGTACCATGTTTCAGATTTGTCTCCAAAACATCTTAGATCTAGAGTGTAGAGTCTCGCAGCCATGCATGGATGAAACCTCTACGCGTACTTGCGATGTAACTCTGAATCTGTCCCTATAAGCCCAGTTACGACACGACACGTGATGCTGATTATGGTTCGGTTCCAAACTGGGACGGCAAAATACTGTGTCGGTGAACTCGGCTTCTAGGGTGTGATCTTAGCAAAGCAGTAGAGATGTGACCCGTGGCCTTGCAATGTGCGGCCGCCTCTACCCCGAATCCGATGACAATTTTTTGCTGCGCCCCTCCCCCCCGATCAGACAGTGACGAGGTTGGGGCAACCGCAATCAAACGCCCGAATGTTTCGATCTGAGGGAACCAAACCGATCACATAGCGACCACGAGTCAAACGGAGGCTTGCCGCAAAGCGAACACGAAAGCACGTAAGACCCAACAGTTGAGGAAACCTTGCGTCAACGATGCAGCACCTGACCCTAAACATTGAAACCAACTCCTGACCCTGCAATGCCAAATGTGAATTGAACCTGAGACGGCTCATAAACAGCCTAAGCACATCCAAAGCAACAGCGAGAAGCCACAACCTGGTAAGCCTCTACGAAACCCTTAACCTTAGCCCGCACAGGGAGCGGAATTCCGACTTGCAACTTCTGAAACTTCCCCCGCCTTGCAGCTTGGACCCACCGCCGTAGCCTAGTTTTGCGCTCGGGTCAGGTCTATCTTTTCGCTCGTATCTTGTTCCACTGCATTTGCAGGCATGCTGTTGGCCAGCCTTACCAGCTCAGAACCTCGGATGGCCTCTGGATCTCATGCCTTAGGCGCTAAGGAAATGATTGGCCTTTCGGGGTTTCTGCCGGATTCGGGCTAGGCTGCCGGATTCACTGCTTCAGGAACCCAGGTCGAACACTACTTTGAAAGCACCTGGACCTATACGGCCATGCTGTCTCTGTTTCGCTTGGATGAATCCATCTCACAAAAACCGGAGGATGGGGAGTCATCAGGGTGATGCCCGTTTGAGCTTTGCAAAGTCTCTTCAAAAATGCCCGCCACACTTGCGGAGGAGGCTTTTGAAGTATTTCGGGTCGCCAAGCAGCTGAAGTAGATGTGATTTTCAAAGGGGTTGCAGAGGGGTGCCACGGCCACGGCAAAGGCAAGCTGGTCCAGCCGCACAGGCGCTTCCAGCTGGATCCCGACATCTACCTCCAAGAGCGCCAACCGTGACAAAACAAGACCTCTGCCCATACTTTTCGCAAGTCATCTCTGCCTCCTAGCCTCCTAGATCTATGACTTTGCATGTGCTGCGGGAGGCTGCATGCAACGATAAGAAAGCTAAAACCTTTTTGCTTGTTCTGATGTCCGGGTTGTCATGTTCTCTTTCCATCGTAAACAGAACTGAGAAGGCCTGAGAAACTTCACAAATTGAAACACGTTGTGTTCCGTAGAAGGTCTACACTACTTTTCTGGACATCTTAAACTTGTTGGGATACACAAAAATCAGCATTCACCCCAAATTGCGCAAAGCCCTCGTGATCAAAAGAAAGCATGTTCCAATAGAGGCACTGCATTTTAAGTAGCCATGTGTGAATTTATGAAACATGATGTGTTTTGCACTATCCATCTGCTCAAGCCTTTTGCCTGCTCAACTACCAAAAGACTCTAAAACTATCAAGCAGGAGCCGTTGAAATCCGAAACAAGCTTTCTCGATAACAAGAATACCTGTTGGGAAACTACACTGTGGCTTCTGTCGCACGATCTACAGCTTTAGATAAGCTGAAAGCATAGCTTGGCGTACAAACTTTTGCCAAACTTCACCGCATATCACAACACGTAGTTTGTACATTATACATTGCACAATTATAGAATGAACCCTACAGCAAGTCTTCAAAAGCCCCAACGAGCCCAACCATGAATCAGTAATCGCTAGGGTGCTAAGTTTCAGCATGTAAACAATGCGGGCCACACTTGTAACAGAAGTAGTGGCGATGGCAGTGGTAGCAGCTGTTAGAGCAGGGTTAACTTTGCAAACCATGCCGGCGTTGCAGCACGTCTCGCGAGGAAGTCGGCAGCTTGCAACATTTGTAGCTGTGTCCAGCTGCAGAGAGAGAGCCGGCCCAGAATCTCCTAATTCAACAGGTTGCCACATAAGACTGGCTATGCTACAGGCCGAAGATAAGGTTCATAGCGTATAGCAATATACAAGTAGTATACATACCGTACTCAGGATCTCTCTCTCTCTCTCTCTGCCGTGGATGGTACTCAAGATTGAGGTTGTGGTTGTTGCATAACTGGTCTTGCATCAGGTGTTCTCGTGGGCTAGGGTCAGGGTTTTGCTCAGGATCGAGTCTAGATTCAACTTTCGCGTCTACTTGCAACGCGGTGCGGTGAAGTGCCTCTTCAAAGTTCATCAACGTCAGTCTGATGCATGATGGAAGGACTAAGAAGGTTCTGGCTCGTCTCCGGCATCTGCATGAATGTTTGAAGTTTTTGCGACGGACAATCTCTGGCAGTGCCATCGGAACTTCAGCATGTTGAGCGTTTGCTTGTGCATGTTGACCCTTTCTAACGTCCAGGTCCTGGCCATTCTGCTGTTTAGCTTTAGGTTCATGGTATGCTTGCGTTTCGGATTTGGTTGCACATGGTTCAAGTCTTCCAGTTGGTCTTCCTGCTGAGCACTGGAAGCTCAGCGACGTTGTCAGAGCAGCGGCCGAAAAAGACTTAGACCATTGCCATCGTCCGTCGTCCCTGAAAGCCCAAACCGGCAACTCCGGAATCCAGAAGCTGTCAGAGCTTTAGGCCAGGCCCGACACCTCTCAAGTCCTAAACCCTAATCCTAGTGCCTTGAATCGCAAAGCCGCAAACACTGAAGCCTTAAATTCTTTCCTGAGAATCCCTCAGCCAGGCAAGTCTCCGGATCCCCGCAGGCCGCGCCCAAGCACTCCACCCCCTGCAATTGGAGGTTGTTCGACATGGCTATAACGCGCTGGGGTGTTCAGGTTTCGTGGCTTTGATTAAAGCCCACTACATTTAATCTTAAACCCTAGATGCTGTAAACTCCGACAGAACTCCACGGATCAAGGGCCGATTCGGGTCCTGAGGCGATGCCAAAAACGCAGTGGCCCGGGTGCAGAGTTCGCAACGGCACGCCGGGGGCTGCTCCTGCAATCTGTTTTGCGGGAGGCTCTTTTGGACTCTTTCAGTGAACTGACCAAACCTACCCCAACCTACCCTAGCCTAACCTATCCCAACCCAGCCTAACCCAACCCACCCTCACCTAACCTCATCTCACCTGACCCACCTAAAAGCAACCCAACCTGACCTAACCTACCCAACCTACCCTACCCCAACCTGACCTAACCCAACTTCCCAACCTGATCTATAGCTACACCAACCCAACCTGACCTGAACTACCCCAACCTACCCTAGCCTGCCTCAACCCAACCTGGACCTGACCTACCCCAACCTTCCCTAATCCAACCTACCCCAACCTAATCTACCCTGACCCTGACCGCACCCACCCCAACCTCCCCTAACCTAACCGGACATGACCCACAGCTGCCCCACCCAACCTACCCCAACCTTACCTAATCTAACCGACTCTACTTCCTTTCGAGCGGTTTTCTCCCTGATTTCAGATTCTCTAGTCTCTTCGGCGTTCTCTACTCTCTTTGAAGCGGCTTTCTTTTTGTTCTGAAGCTTTCTTAGTTCCTTTCGAGTGGTTTGCTCCTGTTTTTGTTTCAATTTCTTTAGTTTCTTTCGAAATTCTGTAGTCTCTCTCTCGAGCGGTTTGCTCCTTGTTTGGAAATTCTCTAGTTCCTTTCGATCGGTTTGCTCCTTGTTTTCAAACTCTCGAGTCTAATTCAAAATTCTCCAGTCTCTTTCAGCGGTTTGCTAACCTAACCCAACCTAATCTACCCCACCACAACCTAAACCAACCTAACCCTCACCTGATTGAAATACCCGATTGTGACCTCAGCTAACCCGACTCCACCCAACATTCGCCAAATACCAGTCTAATGCAACCTGACCCAACCCAACCATGACCAGAACCCCAATCCCTGAGCCAGTGGCCAGTTCACTGAAATAGCGTTCCAATTCACTGAAACAGCGTTCCAGTTCACTGAGACAGCGATCCAGATCACTGAAAGAACCATGTTCCAGGCTCTTTTCCTCCTGCTCAGTCGGAATCTACGCGGTGGACCGGTGTAGCCAGTGTAGCCACCACTGAGAAGCCATCACCACCAAAACTGTCACTCGACAATCCACCTCAACCTCACAAGCTGAACCAAAAGGCACTTCCCTGCGAAATATCGGACAGGTTTGGGATTGTAAGCAGGAGGTTGAAAGACTTAGGAAGCGATTTCTGTGTTGAGGTTCCCCCGCCAGTACAACATGTCTTGGTGCAACAGACTACGCAATGCGCATGGTTGATTTGCCAGGAGACTGTTCACAGCAATTTCCACAGCAAAATTTATGGGCTTGGATATTGTTCTGGGATTGGCAGTGCATTTTAGTTCTACGTCCAGTCAGGATTCCAACAGGATCTTGCTATGGCTTGCATTGCAAGCATTTTGCGAAGGAACGGGAACTTGGCCTTCTCATCTACAAGCGCTGGGCGCTTGCACCATGCAGCCGACTTCTGCAGCAGCCATTGCACAGGGCTGCAACATCCGACCATCCGCGAAATAGGTTTAGAAAACCTTAACCCTAAAAAAACCACGAGACCCCGCACCCGAAGAGCCGTGATTAGGCAATCACTCTGAGAATGTCCACAAGCCGGCTGCTCGAGAAGCGCTGTGAAGTGGGCTTCCGTGGCATGTACGTATGTGCGAATGTATATATATATAGAGAGAGAGAGAGATGTATCTATCTATGTACATTGGTCACAACTCTAGACCCTACCTACAACATGCAACGGCTGCGCAGAATCGAACAATGGGAGCACGAAAAAATATTCGAGCGGCAAAGCAATGTCGCACCAGTGATCTCCTTTCCGCAAAGTAGTCTACATTCCGGATAGCACAGAGCAATGCACTTTTCGGTTTATTTAGGGGTCGGAGGTCTTTCCCCGTGCAGAGCTGAAGTACTGAAAGTTATGGTAGGTATGGCTGATGTTGGGAGCTTGTGTTTGAAGACTCCGTTGAGTTCAAGCTTAGACCCATAGCGGGTTGTTTACGGTCGGCTTCTGTCAGACAGAACGACAGCACCAGGGAATCGTATGGTCGGGCTTTCTCCAGCGCACTTTGTTCTTCGGCAGCGATTGTCACTGCAACCGGGCCCCACGGAGAAGACGGAAACTTTCCAGTCGAAAGCCGAAAGCTACCAGCTACCGGGAGGGTTGCGACAGCGTGCGCAGGACATCTTCATCTTCCCCTGCCACATGCCGCAGCGATAGCTTTGGTCAAATCTGGACATCGACGCCACTTGCATGAACTCCACCACCACCGTCGAATCTTTATCGTGCCTTGCATGACAGCCTACGTCCTGCGAGACGCAAAGCTACCACCACCTCTGCTGCAGACTGCTCAGAATCACCCAAGGGCTTCCTTGGGCTGCTTCACGCTGCGTCCAATGAGTTTTGCAGTCGGTAAGGTCTGCAGGTCTGGTTTAGGGTGTAGGTGTGGGCTTGGCGCCTAGATAGACCTGACATTTACAAGTTTGGAAAGCGGCTGTTGTGTAGTTCTTGAATCTACGAACTCGATGGATGCTGGGGTTGGTATGGGTCGGTATTCGTATAGGGATTGTTTTCCCTCCCGCCTGGCTGGGACGAACCTACGATGCAGGGTCTGTATTCGTATAGGGATCCAAATGTCGAAGACGAGGGTCAAGTGCAATGCGGGCGTTCTTAAGCCGAATCCGAGACATGTGTGTGTATGTATGTATATATATATATATATATCTATGGCAGAGGGTCCTTTAGGGTTCATTTGGCTCAGCAGATATGAAATCATATACCCGTTTTTTAATTGTTTGCCTTATTTGAACTGTCGGGCCCATTTGAGAATTCAAATAATCGGGGTCTGGATACCCCATGAGGGTCTGGAGACGGCATAAAAACACTTTAAAGGGCCTCGAGGCACTGGCAAACTATTTTTCCCACCCGCCCAGCTGACCAAGTCGCACCGCAGGGAGTTCGTTAGAACTGTTCTGAGAATACGGGGAGAGTAAAGGCGATCCACATGCTCCGTACAGACAGGCCCAACACCAACTTACAACCATCCTCATGTGGACCTTGCAAACCTGTCGACACTCCAGTTCCCAGCAAACTATTCGGGAGCTAGGTAGGTTTGTTGTAAGACACCGCCCCTCAAAAACTGGGCACGGGCCTGTTTGGAGCTGTGGAAGGACCAAGCCCGTTTATGAAATCCCAACAAGCCTTAATCATAGTACGACATGCAGACAGACATGCAGATGGGTTGCAAAGTGGGCGTTCTGAGGATCGACAGTTGTAAAATGTGGATTCTGGTTGTAAAGTGGGGATTCGGGTTGCAAAGCGGGTTCATCTCGGAGGGGGAGGGAGAGGGAGGGAGGAAGGGAGGCAAAGAGAGAGAGAGAGAGAGGGAGGAGGGAGCGAGATGTGTGTGTGTGTGGCATGGCTACAGCCGAAACGGACGACCCGTACACAAAAACAAAAAACACAACAATCAGTGACAATAATAAGTAGTACTCCCTTCAAAACTGCAAGGATCTACGCTGCTTAGGCACGTGTGAGGACACGCCAAACTCTCTCGACGTCTCCACAACGATCTTCCAGTCCACGAACACAACTCGAGAAAAAAAGAGAAGTGCAGGTTCCAGGAGGGCGCCGCCGTCGACTGTGACCCCTTATCCACAACCGACCAGGCGAAGCATATTGACCGCAAACCGAAAGGCTTGAAGTGTTGCCTTTGTTCCTGCGTCTCGCAACCCTAGAACCAGAACAGGGCCATCATGCATGGCAAATTAATAACGTGGGATGCCCTGTAACAGAAGATGCTGCAAACAAACGGTCAGCAACTGCAACCTCGTAACCCATGCATGTGCACGATCAACCATCAGACTTGAAGGGCTCGCCTCTCGTCCCTGCACAACATCCAACACATGTCATGTACACCGCGGGGCTGTGAGATGGCAGATGACCAATCGCCGAAAGCAGCTCCAGTATCCTTATAGAGGATTGAGACTCTTGGGACAGACTTGTCGTGTGAACTAGAAAGGCTGCTGTTCCAGATTCCGCTGCGACCTTTGGCAGCTATGGCCCCTACACTACACGGATCTCGCGGTTCCTACATGTAGATTAGACGATCTGCTCATACAAGGCCTTGGCAAGGGTCTTGTACCAAGGTTTGCCTTGGAGTCCGTCATTTACATCATGTGCCAAGCTAATAACTCCCGATTATGTGACCCTTCACCAAACCCTACACTGACGATATAGTGTTGAAAAATCAAGGCCAGCAACATCCAACACCACCAGAATCACCAGCATCAGCCCAACCAGGAGCATCATGAGCTGGGCCTGGCCTTGCGGGCATCATCAACCAACATCATCAGCATCAGCCACCAGTGCCCGGCAAGAGCCAAGCCCACCAGGAGCATCACGCGTATCAGCTGGCCCTGGCTGCAAGGCATCGCGACCCATCCCGAGCATCATGGACGGGGATGTGGGGGTGTGGGTGGGCGAGGGGATGTGGGGGTGGAGGGGTGGGAGGGGGGTGGGGCAGGGCATGGTGGCATGGTGGGGGTGGGTGGGGGGCAGGATGGTGGGGGGTGGGGGGGTGGGGGGTGAGGAAGAGGGGGGCAGGGTGAAGGGACGCCACGCCACAGACCTGAACCCGGTGTGGCCATCAGCCAGCGCCGGCGTTACATCAAAACAGTCGCGACGTCAGCACTGGTATTGGCCTTGCAGGTATCACCAACCCAATGCACCATCATCGTAAGTATCAGCCGCCAGTGTCCGGCAGGAGCCAAGTCCACGGCGAGAGCATCATGAGCATCAGTTGGTCCTGACTGCACGGCCTCACGACCCATAGCAACAGCATCATGAGCATCAGCCACAGGTGCGCGGAAGGAGGCAGGCCTACGGCAAGAGTCGCATGGGCATCAGCTGGCCCCGGCCTTGCAGGCATCACCACCTGAAACAATATCATCATGAGCATCAGCAACAACTGTCGGCAGGAGCCAAGACCACAAGAGCATCAGCTGGCCTTGGCTGCGGGGCCGCCACTAGTGTCCTGCAGGAGCCAAGCCCACCATGAGCATCCTAGGCATCAGCTCGCTTTTGGGGCAGCAAGACCAGGAGCAACAGCATCGTGAGCATCTGCAACCAATGTCCGGCAGGGACCATGCCGACTGCAAGAGCATCATGGGCATCAGCCATCATCAGCCGGCACTGGCCGTAATGTCCATCAGTGACCCGAAGCAGCCTTCCCCAACTGTGAGATTCTATCAACAGGCATTCTGCCCAAGCAATTGTAAACCGATACGAGTACTTTCAACGCCCGGCATCGACCGCTTAAGCGCCAGGAGCTTCAGGATTCGCTCGGCTGCTTCCAGGGCGGACCAGAGCTCCTGCAGGTTCTTGTTGGAAAACTTGTTTTTTGAGACATTGGGTGTCTCAGAGTCCGGGATCCCTGCTGGGTGACTGGATGTGCAGCTCTCTTACGCGAGCTTTGCCGCAGGACAAGGAGGAACACTGTCAGCTCCAAACCATCTGTGGGTTTCAGATTCCGGTTAGGGTTAACATGAGCTGCCAAGGGGGGTGAGCCTTTGGTTCTTCACAGTTCTGAGTGCTGGGTTGCAGGGGCTGCGGTTTGGAAGCCCGGAAGCCGCAAAGCCGAGGTGTAGACGTCATCCGGCATTCGGGTGCGTTGTGCTAGCAAACAAACCTCTTTCGAGAGGCTGCTGTAGAACACTCGCCCCTACGCTGCGGGATTACGCTTCTTGAGCCTCGAACTCATCAAGACGTCGAGCTGAGGGTTTGAGCGTTTGGCATGATGAAGATTCTGGTGAGGCTTTGGGATTGCCAAACCTTTTCCCGTTGGCTTTCGGCGCCTTCGCGCTTTAGGGCCCTGGCGCTTTGGGCCATCGTAAATGTAATGTTGCCGATGTTCCGAAACCCTACACTACATGCCCGAAACCCCCTTTGTGATGTCCAACCTCCAGGAGCCTCACAGGTTGCAGAGGTTGGTGCCCAGCCGAGTTTGGAAATAAGATATCTTTGGTGAAGCCTTCACAATGACCTCTGGTGGCATGTGTGTCACTCCACTTTTCTTGTTTCGTTGGGGTGGCAAAAAGCAACTGACCAAAGTGCAGCCTGTGAGGAATGTACACTTGCCGGAGCTATCTACACTTATCCCTCTGTTCGGGATTCTCCTTTGTCGGTAACATCCTTTGCTTTGGGTTTCTCTTCCATCGGCAACATCTTCTGATGCCACCGCTAAAAAAAGGGGATTCCAGGTCCAAGACCAAGGCTACAAAATCATTACAGCCCAATTGTGTTCTTCTGATCTCTGGCGAAGGGCAACTGTGATGCATGTTTCTTGTCCTGAAGACAACGGCCTTTGTTTGGCAGGATAAGGCTGATCGCCTCATATACCCGCCGACGGCCGTATCTCACCGAATGCACGGGATCTCTTTCGAGCTCCGAAGTTAAGCGGTGGAGAGCCCNNGCCTGGGGGACCGGCTGGGAAGCGCTGTCAG